GAGGAGGACATTCAGTGCATTTGTGTGCCTGATAACATTCACGGGTTAGCCAGGGACACCGACTGGTTTGGCACTGGCCTTTCAACCTTTTTTGGCATCCTGCAAGGATCATTATTGATGCTGTTACAAAACTTGCGCATCTTTCCCTCTCTAATCTGCGTTCTCACTGTCTGTGGTTTTTACAAATTCCCCGTCATGCCCTTTGGCTTCAAACCTGCCTCTTTTAGTTGTAATGGCCGAGAGGGACAGAGTTTGCTAATGGAAAGTTCCTTTAATTAGCATGTGTACTGGCAAACGTCCTGGGGCTGTTAGGACATTTTCCTGGGCTTGTGGGGACATTTAGGACAGGCCTGTCTGCGATCAGGGTCCAAGAGTTACGCGGTTTGCCTAGAACTCCATTTGAAGCGCAGTCTCTCCATCCACTCAGCACATTACATTCTCGGTCAGTTACTTTAATAGCTGTATGTTGTGGCTTTTCTGAGAAGAGAAGAGGTGTGTCCTCCTGCCATTATTTAAAAAAAATAAACAAGTTTAGTCGTGACATGCCATCGAGATGACAGACATAACATACTGCCGCTCTGACAGAGCTGAACGCACACGGTTTAATGGTGATCGATGCCATATCTGTTGTTAGAATAGCTGAGCTGCAGATTTGTTTCAAAGCCGGAGGCACTTTATTGAAAGGACTGAAGCGTTTTATACAGGTTTCTACATCATTAACACATGTATACATGTTGTAGTTGGCACACAGTTGAGTCTTTTTTTTAAAAAGATGGTTTATGAAATGGATACTTCTGATATGAAATTCAAAATTGGATGAGACGCATTCAAGAAGTGTCGTTATTGTCGGCTAAAACTACAGCGATTAAAATAGTTTTCATTAATTGAAATAAAGAAATGAAATGATGAAAAAATGTATGAAAATGAGAAAAAAACGGAAATAAGTTTGAGTAAATGACAATGAAGTAAAATAAAGCTAAATAGAAATACATATAATAAAAATGACAAAATTACTAAAACAAACTAAAATGAAAATATACAAATAAAATAATTCTAAATATTAATAAATACTATGATAGTATATAAATAGTACTAAAATAACACGGATTAAATGTCATTTAAAAATGTTTATACATTTTAATTGCCCAAGTACAGTGACTGGGGACTGCAAACAGTTTCCAAACTATATTACTGTTTGTTGTTTATCATTAATAATAGATTTATCTATTGTACATTAGTATCTTCTAAAAGCTTAAACTATGATGTACTCAATATTTTTGGTAAACATTTTTACACTTAAAGCTGTGAAGTCAATGAAATCTCCCGAACGGAGTAAAGCATGTAATTGGATCATATGCATTGTGCCTAAAATCACTCTAAAACATGACTAATACTACTGCTAATACTGTGAGTAATACCATGTTTTTTGTATACATTTACTATGGAAAGACCCTGCCTTGGAGTACCATGGTATTACCAACTGATAGCATCACTGTACCGTCTGGCACTGGTGGAACAGATAGCACACAAGTGATATTTCTGCTATGAGTGAAAACAAAGAAACAATCAACAGAAGATTGATAAGCTTTAATAAGATATCAGTGCAGAGATACAACTTATTGGGTAACATTTCCCATACAGTAATGTCAACAATAATTATAATAATGTCAATATACATTTAGCATATTAAAATATGTACGTAACTGCCTATTTTCTGTATTTATCTAATGTTGTCTTTAAAGTTGAAGAACTTTCTGCACATTCAGATGCACAACTCTCACGGTAACATCTTCATATGGCTGCACTGCTTTAAGAAAGATACGAGTTCACCATTTCCTCCTTTGGCATTAATATCTGAACATTCAAGTAATAATAAGTACAGAACTGCATTGCTTTATAGCTTAGTGTTGAATGCTACATGATTAAATGGGCAGTGACCTAGAGTTGCTTGTTTTAAGGCACCTGTAAGAATTTAAATATCAGATTATTGGCATTTACTAAAACTGAAACCTTTAAAAAGCATGTGCACATTGATGTATCTGGGGGATACACTGGGGGAATATGCAGCATTTCACCCAACAACAATATAGTTTTCCCTAGATGTAAATAATGATCTTGAAGTTGAAGAGAGTCTGGAGAGATGTGCATGTGTCATCTGTCTAGCGGTCTCTCTCCTGCTCTCAAATTGTGTCTACTGTGACGGTCTATCACTGCAGCAGATAGGAGTGTCAATCTATGTGAGTCTTGAGCATTGAAATGTGTGTGATCTAGGTTGAAATATGTACACACACACACACACGCAACAATTCTGCACATTTTCCCCCTTAAATTCTCATTATTAAGTTGTTTGTAATTACCATTATTCTCAATGATAAGTCTCATTAGATTCTCATTGTAATACAATTTTTTTATTTTTATTTTTAAACAGTATAAATTTAAATTCATAGAAGCTAATAAAATACTAAATAACTACTAAATAACTCATTTTTTATACTTTTACACAACTTTTTGATAACGTTTTTTTCAGGGGGGGATTTTGGGGGTAACTAATGAAAGTAATGCAATAAAATCTTAATAGTGCTGAAAATAGGCATAATTGTCTTATAATCAATCCTATGACATATTTTTTTTTTCTTTGGAGTGAAATATGACCTGGACACATTTTGTGGCATTCTTTCTTATGCTGAATTAGCTTTGCTTAGTTGTGCACAGCCACTCTCTCAGATCCCGTCTCTCACAGCAGATCCACCATAAAGCAACACATCTCCAGTCTTCTATCAAAACACGCTTATTACTTTAGAAACTGGAATGTGTGCCAAACCTCATCTTTGTACCTTGAAATCGTAGCAATGTGTCATTCTTTTTTTTCACCAGGGGTTTAGATTTACATTAAAATTTAACAGAAGATCTAAAGTGCTAATATGTCATTAAGCAGAAGAATCATCATCATCATCCACAGTTCTTGCTACATTACTACATATTGCCACAGTCACAACTAATAGCCTTAAGAAATAATTTATGCTTTATGATTCAACTTTAAAGACAACCTCAGGGAAATTCAAATAGATAGAGTTAATGTTATTATATTCATATGGGTATTCATATGGTTCAGACAGCATGAAGCACCATCTTTAAACAATGCAAGAAATCACTAAGATTAAACTCATTTTAAGGATCCAATATGCTACATAACATGTCTAAAACAGATTTGTTTTATTAAAAAAAAAATTAAAAAAAATCTTTACTCCAATTTTTGAACCAATAGAGGCCTGCCAATAATTGTAATATGCATTTTTGCATATTTCCAGAAAAAAATGTCATCAAGAAAGAGCACAGGACACCAGCACTGCACACTCGATAAGGACTCTGATTCACATCTACTGAGTAGACAAGACAAAGTACCAGTACAAATAAATGCTTAACTTTATCATCAAAGTAGAAATCTATAGTAAAAATCTTAGAGCATCTTCCTTTAAATATGTATGTTTACAGCTAAATAGACAGAAATATATGTTTTTAAAGTGGTCTCCACAATAAGGCAATAAACGGAGATCAGAGAGAGAAACACAGTATTGCCACTAATCGAACAAAGAAAGGCACACAAATAACATGACCACTGAAAGTGGTCAGTGAGGACAAGGCACAAAGACCCCATGAAACGGCTCGCGAGCACAGTTTTCTTTCCTTTATTGACATATTTCCTGTTGAAACAGGAAGTTTGGGTTGGCAATATTAAAGGATTGTTTTTTTTTTTTTTTTTTACAGGCTAAACATAATTTACAACCATGACTGCAGAGAGGAGGACATTTTCATTTCAGAATTTGATTGAACAAATATTAAAACATTAAATATATTAAAATTATAACATTTTGTGTGTATTTTGTAATTATAAAAGTATGTGTGACAAATGTTCATTTTGTTAACTTTTAGGAGTACACTAGCACAGTGGTTGCCAGCATAGGTGTAGTTGAACTAAATCAAAAATGAAACTAATTTATGTGCTGAACTATTATAATGCAATGTCATTTTATTGCTTTTTTCAATAATATTTAAATATTTTATATAGAACTAATTTTATTCATGATAAATTAAAACCTTTTTAATTTACTAAATTTAATTTAATTAATTCCTCTTATATTAGTTTTGCCATGTCTGCATATCATAGAATACTATATACCTAAAGCACAATAACTGGGGTCACTGTATATATCAGGGGTCTCCAAACTCAGTTCTGGAGGGCCGGTGTCTTGCAGAGTTTAGCTTCAACTTGTCTCAACACACCTGCCTGGAGGTTTCTACTAGTATGCCTAGTAAGACCTTAATTAGCTGGTTCAGGTGGGTTAAATTAGGGTTGGAGCTAAACTCTGCAGGACACCGACCCTCCAGGACCAAGTTTGGAGACCCCTGGTATACATTATACCAGGTTGCTTTTTGTGAAATCTGGCAACCCTGGTCTCAGAGCGAACGTGTTTGTGCGAGTGGAAAGACAGCAGCACATGTATGAAGATCAGCTATTGTTAATATTGTTAATAAAGCACATTGAATTACACACCGCTTGGGAACCACTGCATCAGCATACAGATGAGCTCAAAACTGGCCTTTTGATTTCATGGGGTCTTTAAAGGAACACTCCACTATTTTTGAAAATAGTATTACGCAGCGCCTGAAAATAGTCCCAGCTAGGTAACTTCCAATGGAAAGCGCACGCTCCCTGTGCAAGCAAGTGGTCACGTTGGTTATGTTGGCGGAAGTTAGCCTATTTTCAGGCGCTGCACAATATCATCAATAATCGCAACTTTTTAGTGCTACCGCCAGACCCGGAGATCGGCTGAATGGATTCGAAAACGGTAAAACTCAATAGTTTAACTCTAGGGGAGTTGGAAAATGAGCCTATTTTCAAAAATAATGGAGTGTTCCTTTAATGATGTGTCAGAGGTAGGAAAGTTAGAAGAACAAATGAAAGAAATTAGAACATTTCAAAACAAGTAGCTTACAGTAGATTCTTTTTTTTTTCGTTTGACATTGATAGAGAAAAAGAGGAGAATATGCTGAAAACAGCTTCGCCGAAACGATCTGACAAGCAGAGAAATGGACAGCTGAAGACAAAAAGCAAAATTTAAACTCCTCCAAAAACACTTAAATTCATTCAGAAACTGTCTTGTAACTAAAAAAAAAATAGTACATGTATATAATTTATGAAGATGTAGACAATAAAAATAGAATCAAAGCTACATTTGCCATGTATGCGCTCAGGTAGATATGACTGTGAGAGGGTGTTTGTGGGATGTGCTAAAGCTGGGATGCTTATTGTCAGGATGGTGGCTATGAGATGAGAGTTAGGGTCCGGTAAAGTAGGACTGCATTGCTGTGGAGAAACCGGTTTAAGTGGTCTGGTCTAATGCTCTTAGGAGGTCACTGCCCTGCAGCAAATGAAGATTGCCTTGCAACGGGACGTTGACCTCGCAGTCGTAACGCGTCAGTTCAGGCAGAGAGTAGGTCTCGAAGGAGGGCCCGATAAGACGGCTCACGACTCCTGCAAACACAAACGGTTCTGAGAATCAGCATCCACAGTGCATGACGTACGTAAGTGTGTCTGTGTCAGTTCAGAGCTCACCATCCATTTTGGAGGAAGGCTGCATGTTGAACTCTCTGTAGTTACAGCACTGTTCTTGATAGCGTTTTGTCGCCTGTCTGGCCTGATTCCCCGAATACTGGGTCTTCCTGTGCTGCTGGTCCATGCCTCCATTATGGGCCATGTCTTTGTCTAGATAGAAATACATTTGTGACCCTGGACCACAAAACCAGTCATAAGGGTCAATTTTTCGAAATTGAGATTTATACATCATCTGAAAGCTGAATAAATTAGAAAATCAATCATTTTGACCCATACAATGTATTTTTGGCTATTGCTACAAATATACCCCAGCGACTTAAGACTGGTTTTGTGGTCCAGGGTCACATTTGATTCACAATTGGTGTTGGTTTTGTCTGCAATACAGCTGCTAAAAAATGTGGCCTCGAGGATTTTTAAAAACCATGAACTAAACCAACCAGCTACAAGGTGAATCACAACATTACAAACTTTGATTTAAAGCAAAAACATATTTGAGGTACGAGAGTGTGTAATTAACTGCTTTAATGAGGGGAACAACTACAAGTAGTCTGACAGAGTAAGGAGACGTCATTTATAGTGCTTCATGGGAGTTGTTGGGCACCAAAGTGTTCTTTTGACACAATTTACTTGTCGGGATTCTCTGATTGGTGGAGATTTCTCTGCAGATTCATGGGTGATGTAGTTTTTCATCAGAAATGACTACTAATAATCTTTTTTCAGTGTGGTACCTGACAAAGCGCTAGTGCTGAGTGATTTCCTGTCCATGACGGCACAGCTCTCATTTCGAAGTCTCTTCCACATTGTGTGTTGTGATTTTGTGGGGGGCGTCTCACTCTAAAACACAGTCATAGCATGCAGTGACTTCAAGACATGATGTTTAAACACAAAAATCACCCAATAGATAAATTAAAAACTATCATTTCAAAATGTTTCAAATGTTTGGATACACTTGTTTTAATTTATATTTCTTAAAATTTTCTCAAGATTTTTAAACATTTTATAGAGATGTTTGATTAAATGCTTGAATGTTTGGCAGGCAAACACAAATTGATTTTTAAATGTACTGGATAATGAAGGAAAGGCAGCCGACAAATGCCCAGGATATCTTTCAAGCTAAAAAAATATAAGGTCGTTTTTATTTGTTTAAAAGTTCCCATACTTTTTAGTATGAATTTATTATAGTTCTAAACTGAATAAAAAAATAGTACTAATAAAAATTATTAGTACTAAAAATAGTACTAATAAAAATTGAGTAGTATTCAAACTTTTGACTGGAAGTGTGCATTTGAAAAATTAAGTAAACCATGTGATTTTATTTATTTAAATAGATCATTATTTTCAGGACAGTTAGCCAGTTAATTTTTTTAATTCTCTCTCTCTCATTTTTTTTTTTACTTACTGCATTTTAATAATAAAAAAAAAGTATTACTGTAATACAACTACCTTAATAAGTACTCTACCATTAGGTTGGTGAGAATATTTCTTGCATTATAATAAAGACAATTTTAGAGGGGAAATATGCAAAACAAAACAAAACATTCAAAAAATGAAAAAATAAAATAAAAATCCAAATGGACTTAACCAATTTTCTTTGTAAAATACAATTAATACTGATTTATTAATGTTTAGATTAATATATATATTTTTTGCATTATACACTATCAAAAATATTTTTAAATATTAGCTAGAATGGTAGTCTCTTCTGCTCACCAAGGCTGCATTTATTTGATCAAAAATACAGGAAATACAGTAATACTGTGAAATATTATTACAATTTAAAATGCAGTTGTCTATTTTAATATTTTTTAAAATTAATTTATTCCTGTGATACAAAGCTGAGTTTTCAGCATCATTACTCCGGTCTTCAGGGTCACATGATCCTTCAGAAATCATTCTAATATTCTAAAAACATTTCAAGTTAAATATGAACAAACCATTGTCATCTGTGTGAAGGAGCGCTTGAAATTGTTAGCAAGAGCAAGTCGAGCTGGACTTATATCTCTGTAGTTCTGCACAAAGTTCTCCATGGGCCTGTGAAACAAACACAGGTGTCATTTAATGCAAATCTAAAGACAGCAGCATGTCAAATGTTATTTTATAAGACTGAACCAAGAGATACACATTGTAATATGCAGAATTACCTTTGCAAATAAGGTGGCATTCGATTTGCTGGCACAGTTTGGCTAGTGCACTTTGCAGCTAAAGGATCCATCATTAAAGCCTTACTGGGTAACGGCGGGTCAGGCGGCCACTGCAGATTCTGACGGCCTCCCATAGAGGACAGCGGGGTGCAGGCGGGATCATGGTAGGGAGGCATCTGCATGGGACCCCTGCTGTAGGGTACAGATGACCACGTCTCCACAGAGCCTCCGTTGATGCTCTGCTTATCCCCTCCTGAACTCACGTTGGGCTGGAAGTGGGCTGTTGAAGGGGAACTCAAGGGTTGGAAGAGGCTTGTGATGTTGCTGAAGCTCTGCTGGTTGGTTCTCAGGGCTCCGATCTCAGATGACGGCTCCTCCGGGCAGATGGGATTGAGCTGGAAGTCCTCACCATCCATGGGGATGTAGGGAGCCAGAGTCTCCAAGTCCAGATCACTCAAGTCAGTCTGGAAGGTCATGGGGAGAGGTCAAAGGTCAGAACAGATTTTTCTATAACACCTGATTCTGTTATTCCATAATCAAATGTTGACATTAAAAGGATCATGAGGAATCAATATTTCTCTGGAAAATAAAAGACCTTTAGAACAGTATTTTTTTCCAGAAAAACAAAACAAAAAACAAAACAAAACAAAACAAAACAAAACACACTGTTTTTGAAACAAAACAAACCATAAATCAACAAACAAAAAACAAAACACAAAATAAACCCAAACACTCAAATTTGTTTAAAAGAACTAAAACGGACTGTTTTTGAAAAAAAACAACAAAAAAAAACTAGACACTCAAATTTGTTTAAAAGAAAAAAAAGAGGTGTTTTTGAAGAAAAAATTTTAACTTTAATTTGTTTAAAAATGTGTTTGTTCAAAAGATGGTTTGTATACACTTGACTGAATTTACATTTCTCATGGTCTTATCATACCAAATCATACAAATACTTATCATACAAATACAAATTTCTTTTTTAAATGGATGAGTTGGACTCATCCAAGGAAAGGCAGCTAACAAGTGCTCTGCATATATGGGAACTCCTTTAAAAATACCTTCAGAACGGTTTAAATATTCAGGCAATTAAAAAAAAAAATGTTTATGGAAAAAACCCCACTAACAATATGATATAATCCTTTTCAAATGACACATTTAAGATTTCTTAGAAATTTTAGCCAGTTATAATCTGAGTGAAGTATTTCTATATAAATGTTCAAGAGTATTACATACTTCATATTAAAAATAAAAACATAATTAATATTACAGGTTGAATGTTTGTTAACCTCTTGGTTGCAGGAAGTCTTGGTCTCTTGCGTGTCCAAGGAAAATAGTTTCTCAGTCAGCTCCACCTTCAGGTCATTGTCCACTGAGGTGTAGTAATCACCAGGGCTGCTGGGCTGTTCAATATATAACATACTCAATGATGACATACTGTACAGTAATCAAAGTTCATATGCAGACCCAACGTGTGGCGATGAGAAGATTTAGTATTTCTGTTTACTGTAGAGCAGCTGCTTAGGCTGGGAGTTGTGCTGCTGGGAGGCGGAGCCTGAGGCACAGAGAAAGTGGCGGCCATCTTGGCAGTGTCTCCAGCATAACTCGTCTTGTGGCCATCATGAACAGAGTGAGAGACAGGAGGAACCACAGTAGACACTTTGCTGTACATCGGGTGCTTCTCATACTGGGAGTTACCTGAAAGAATTGAGCAGATGAATATTTGTATTGTAGGTAACAATCTGTGGCATAAAAAAATAGTGACAGACCAATATATCAGCCAGGCTGATTGACTAGCTGTTTTTATTTGGCCATTTTGAGATCATACTGTCTGATGAACCTGCCAGCTTGACTGATTGAAAAAAGGTTATAGTTGGGTCAATCTCACAAAAGCAGTGGTTACAGCTGCTTTATACATTATGCTGGTGAGATTATTTGGTAACACTTTAGTTTATGGACCAATTCTCACTATTAACTAGTTGCTTATTAACATGCATACTAGCATATCGTCTGTTTACAAGTACTTATAGAGCACATATTAATGCCTTACTGTGCATGACCATATTTTAGATCCCTTAAGTCTACCCCATTCCTAAACTTAACAATGACCTTACTAACTATTAATAAGCAGAAAATTCATAGTTAATAGTTAATTCTTAGTGAGAATTGGTCCTCAAACAAAAGTGTGACTGAATATTTTTTAAGAATTATAATGAAGAGATTTTTAGGGGGTAAATATGCTTAAAATTCCAAATGGTCCTAACTGATTTTCTTTGTAAAATATCGGTTTATAATTTTTAAATGAATAATTATTTATAATTAAAGTTGAGATTCATCATTTATTCCCTAGATAATCGGTACTAGTCACTGGAAATCCCATATCAGTCCAAATGTACAAAAAAGAAGATAGTTCTCACCAAAGTCAAGAGAGATGATGGTGTCACCAGGTGTAGGTGCCAGCTGGGTGAGATCTTCAGGCTCCTCTTTGAGTTTGGTGAATGGCATTTCTCCTGGCTCACTGCCCAGGTCGCCTTTGCTTGGACTGAAGAAACGGTTCAGATGGTGAGGCTTGAACAGAGACTCAGTCTGGTCCATTGAGAAGATCATGGACTTCTCCTCAACGTCACTAAGAAAAGAGAGCACAAACTAAGACTGATAGCCTCTTGTGTCACTGTATATACAACGTTGTAGTGTAACAGTAAAGTCACAAGCATGCGCATTACACTGTGCCATGCCTCAAATGAGCGGTGTGTACATTCATCAACTTTTCCCCTTTGTGTTCCACAGAAATAATAATGGCATACAGGTTTGGAACGAGTAAATTTTTGGATGAACTATCCCTTTAAGTTGTATTTTTTGTCTTCAATTGGATTACAAGCGTCGATGAGCAGAGAACAGACTGCAGATGCAGTACAAACACATCACAAGCTTTGTCACCTTTCATTTTTTGCCTTACCTCAGCACGTAGTTCACGCACACAATGCACTGGGGCTGGGAGTTGCGACTGTTGTAGATGACGGTACCCTGGGTCTCCACCCACACATAGCCCCCATTCTTAGCCAACATCCTGTACTGACCGCTCACCGCCTGGCCTTTAGTGCACACTAGTGAGGGAAGAGGAGAAAATAGCGTAAAAGCCATCTTGAGAACACATGCATTTCCTAAAACTAACTTTTGGACTGACGTTTTGATTTAACGTCTGGTCCGAATGTTTTCTCAGTCATTAGACATGTTGTTTTGAGGATCTCTAAGAGGGTCTTGGGTAGCTACAACATAAACTGAGACAGACAGCCAGACCCATCGAGGGAAAGCTAACATAAGCAACAGGACAAACAGAGAGACGCAGACAATGAGGGATTGCTGATCTGAGTTTTGACAGTCTGTCTCCATGGCACGTTCGCCCTGGACTCGGTCCAGATCTGCCGTGGGAAAGCATTGGTTTTGGCCTGTGCATGCGCTGCTCTGCAGGATGGCCACGTTGCTGTAGAAAGCCTTGGGACTTTATACATGCGTTTGGAAAGGAAGTCGCATAGAAAGCCGTAGGTTCTAAGAGGAGGCCAGTGTCCCTGTGCCAACAAGCTTGGTCCTTCCTAAATATCACCTAACAATTTAAATAAAACATCTTGTTGTTGAAAAAAACATCCATGTAGTGAAATGGCTTTCTCATCCTTACGAATGGTTTTTAAAAATAGCAAAAATATTTTTTTATACATCCACTACCATTCAAAAGTTAAGGGTCTGTAAGAAGTTTTTAAAGAAGATCATTAAGGCTACATTTATTTGACACAGTAAAAAAACAGTAATATTGTGATATATTTTTGCAATTTAAATGAACGGTTTTGAATTGTAATAGTTTCCAAAATGTAATTTATTCCAGTGATCAAAGCTGAATTTTCAGCATCATTACTCCAGTGTTCAGTGTCACATGATCCTTCAGAAATCATTCTAATATGCGGATTTACTGCTCAAGAAACATTTCTGATTATTATCAGTGTTGAAAATTGTTGTGCTGATTAGTATTTTTGTGGAAACTATGATACATTTTATTTTTCAGGATTCTTTGATAAACTGAAAGTTAAAAAGAACCGCATTTATTTGAAATATAGAAATCTTTTGTAAAATTATAAATATCTTTACTGTCACATTTGATAAATTTAATGCATCCTTACTGAATAAAACTATTAAAGGGATAGTTCACCCAAAAATGAAAATTTGATGTTTATCTGCTTTCCCCCAGGGCATCCAAGATGTAGATGACTTTGTTTCTTCAGTAGAACACAAACAAAGATTTTTAACTCAAACCGTTGCAGTCTGTCAGTCATATAATGGAAGTGAATGAGAATCACGGCTTTGAGAGTCAAAAAATAACATACACAAACAAAACCACATTAAACCCTGCGGCTCGTGACGATACATTGATGTGTAAAGACACGAAACGATCGGTCTGTGCAAGAAACTGAACAGTATTTATATCGTTTTTTTACCTCTGATTCACCGCAATGTCCGAACTG